GCAGAAAAGAATGTCACTGATTGCTTTTATATTGGCTAAATACATTATTCCCAAGTCTTTGTAGATAAAAATGCATCCAGTACGTAGGTTAAGAAAACAGCATGCTCAGTGTTGGAGGCAGGTTTCGCCTTCCTGTCTAAGATCTTGGTTGTAAATGCCGTGTTTAAAAAAACAAAGCAACAACGTACGAATCTGCACATAGTGATGGAGCTTTCTAAATTTCTTCCTTGCAGAGGACCCAGTCTGAATCTCTGACTGATTTGAGCTGCACACCAGAAGAAGAAGAGGATGATGAAAAGGAGATGCGTGCAGACTTGCCAGATGCTGTATTCAAAACCAGCGATCAAGAAGTGCCTTGCAGCACATCTGCAGCACAGGACGTGGCTTCCTGGCAGAAGCCCAGAGTGCCTGAGGACCTTCCTCCTGCTTTGAGACTGGCAGTGACTCAACCCATTTCTGACTCTGCTGTTGCACAGGAAGCTTTGCTTCCAGAGAATGAACCAACAGGCTTCCAACCAATGCTGGATACGTGTGTGAAGTCTGATTGCTTGCTGCTGTCAGAAGGCAACAGCTCCACAACTTCTCTGAACTCTGCTCCAGACATAGAAGTACAAAAGCCAAAAGATTCCTCAGCAGCATTGGTTCTGTTGTCTGGGGATGCGAGTAGCAATGTAGCAACTAGTACTTTAAATAAAGGAAACAAGGAGCTTCCTTCTGTGTTTTCAGCACATGAAATACCATCTGAAGAAGATATTTCAACTAGTAAGAATAGTAATATTTGCTTGGAAGGGTTAGAAGAAAACATACAGAGCGATGACCAGGTACCTGTGGAAATGTCCTGTAACAAAGAGTCAAAGAAGGTGGTTGCTGTGTCATCAGAGTCTAGCAAGCAGTTTTTCATAGGTTCTTTTCAGCCCACAGATTCATTCCATGTTTCACATCCCTCTTCTTCATCCCAGGTGGGGTCGCATGCTTCCCAGTCTCTAGAGAAAGCAAAGACTGTACAAGAAGCAGCTGCTTCTGATAAAGAGAACAGTCAGTCACTGGTTCACAAAGAAGAGATTGTGGGGAAGAAAAATGAAAAAACTGCCAATGAACTCAATGTCTTGAGAAAGTTTTCTGTCTCCTCTGCACGGGAAAGGCCAAAAACCAGAAGCCTACATTTTCCAGAAGGTTCACTGTATGAAGATCCATTAAATACCAGGTTCTTCCTGTCCAATGTGAATGTCTCTTTGAAAAATGAGAAGTTGAGCAAAGACTTGCAAAAGGGATCAGATCTGGAAGGTAGAAAAAGTAGTGACAGAAACCAAGCTTTGCTGCCAGAATCTGACTCTGAGAACATGGGCCAGTCTACAGAAATTTTGGCTGACTGTAGTTCTCCAGCTGTCGATGCAGTTCCGGTGCAAAGTGATTCTTCTGCAGTATCTCAGAATCAGCAAAGCCGTGAAGATAAAAATCCTTTTCAAGTAAAACTTAGATCTACCTCTCTGTCCTTGAAATATAGAGACCACTTGTCTGAATCAAAAGGAATTAAAAGATACGGCACAGAATTTAATTTAGAAAATCAGGGATTGACTTTATTTCTCAAAGATGATAAAACAGAGATCAAAAAAACAGCCAATACAAATGTTGATGGTTCTTTAAATGAAAAGATCAAATCCAAAGCACAGTCCTCTGAACAGCTTAGTAGCAAACCTCCATTGCCTAAAAAGCCAGTCATTCAAAACATAACTGTTCCAAATACTAGTGCAAGCAAGGAGAAGCAGGACAAAACTATTCATGCTCCAGAATCCAGAAATGAAGAGAGACACATGGAGAAAAGGCCAAATCCTAGTAAAGTGCCTGGTAAGACACTTGATACTTTGTAAAGTTGTCTTAACTCATGAAGAATGACCTTACCATGTGTGATTCACACATTCTGTTGTGTGAATCTCAAATCATGTGAGCTGGAGCTGAGGGCTCTGCCTTTGCTGATCCCTCATTCTTCCATTTGATTATAAAAAAAAAAAAAACCAGCAGGGAAGAAGTAACAGGCAAAGTAAGGCATTTTTGCCTGAGATTTTTTTTCTGTTTCATAGTATTGTTTGTAGGATGTTCAAAGTGACACTCAACAGATACAGGGCATTAGCAAGTATTGTAAAAGAGAAATATCAAGCTACTAAATCTCCCCATTTAGAGCTGCTTTCTGAAATTCAAAAGGCAGGAGCACATATTAAGAGCAGTGCCCTATGTGAGGTGAACGACTCAAACCTGTAGACCTTTTCCTGCCATAGTATTCAGACAGAAATACTGCTAACTGCCTGGCATGCATAGCACACTTATTTATATGTTGTCTCATGAGTCACACATGTTCATTTATTCATCTTTACCATTACTCAATCCTTGTTTAAAAACAAGAATTAGCTACCCTGCAGCTTGCTGGACTAAGATCAACTCTACTGCAGATCATTAAATTGCACCCAGTTGTCTGTATTGTAAGCCAAAACATAATTGGGTTAGAGTTAAAAAATTCAGTCCTCTGGAGACCAATATATTGTGTGCCACAGGCAGAGAACAGAAGAGGCAACACTGCCATCTGAGGTTTTTGCAACCACAGCAAACGAGTTAAGTACACTCAAGAAATTATAACTGGAAAAACTCTGCTCTTCTTTTTGAAGAGTGACCAAAATGGGGGAAAAAAAAATCTTTAGGTCTTCCAGTATGTATGAGGAACTTATTCCCCACCCCAGTCTGTCTGGTCATGAGTCTGATGTTAAGATGTGGGGAGATGAGGTTTCTGCATGCCACAGCAGAGCTTGCCCTTCAGGTTGCTGTTTTCCACTGGGGGCCAGGCTCCGAGCCTGGGAGAGAGGAAACACTAAGCCGAAAGAAGACGCTAGAATGTGGCAGGCCATGTGTGCTGTACAAAAGCCTCTTCCTGGCCCCACAGACAGCTTGCTGAGCAAGACTGGGTGCAGCAAAAGTGCACTGAGCACTGACGGATACAGTAGGAGGAAGGGAGGAAAGAAATGGAGCTGAGGAGCACATTTCTCTTGGCTTCTCCTCTGCTCCTGCAGCTCTAGGTACAAAGGAGAATCCTGGCCCTGGCTCAGGGCTGTTCTCTACAAAAATGTGTATGCACAAGAGCCTGGCCTCACTGGCAGGGCTGTGCACACGTGGAGTTTGACCTGGTGCTGCTGGTCCAGTAGCACTGTTTCAGATGCGTTCCTCTCCAACTGGCAGTATTACAGCAGATTGGTATGGCCTAGTATTGTCTGACGTGGAGATTCAGATTAGCCTGTAGCAGTAATTAGTCTTCTTATCTAATTCCTCATTGTTGTTATTATATCATAGTAGTTTTCCAGCTTTGAACAGCTTTGTAATGCATTCTGCTATTTTAGCATGCCAGGAGAGAAAGCTTAATTCTGAATAGAGAACACTACTCCAACTTGACCTGAGGTCTTTCCAGGTCTTTCCTATGCCACTATAGACCTTTCTCCTTAGAAATGGGATCGAGTCACTACCACAGCCTGAGCAGGCTACCAAATGCTGCAGGTGAGTGAAGTACTCACACCTTCTCTAGCCATCTGGGCACAACAGCAGGTTTTGTGGGGGGAAATTAAGCAGCATCACGTGGGAGAACTGCTGTACTACCTCTGTAGGGCATCTTGAGCCATGGGATGCAATGAGAGAGAAAACAGCTTTATGAAACAGTGCAGTACTCCTGTGCAAATGTCATTTTAAGCTCTTTGAAACTATTGCCTCAGCCCAGTGACTCAGGAGAGTATCTCAGTAAGTGCCAGAAATCTGAAAAGCACTATCAGCATCACTCTTCCAGGGATCAATCGTGTGGCTTAACAACAAATTCTGGCGATCAGGTATTCTAAGCCGCCCACTTTCTTTTTTGTTCAACCTTAAGAGTTGTGGTTGCTACTGAGGAACACTTGACACTGTCAGGGAGTTTCTGCGTGCTGTGTGTTAGGAAATTCCTTTGCTCAACAGGAAGGCAAGCTGTGGAATCATAATGCAAAGGGGTGTAATACCCTTTTCCTATACAATCATCTGCAGAAAGTCAGTTTGCTGTGTCACAGGATGAACAGGAGCAGTTTGGTACATGGAGCTCAATTTTTGGCTTCTCAGCATTCTTGGTACCAAAGGCCCTGTGAGGGCTGCAGGCAGGCTGCTGTTCCACCAAGGAGAAAGCAGAAGTTTGGCAGAAGTTTGGCCAGCATTTCCTGGGGAATGAGGAGGGGTTTGTTTGGTCTCTGTGCAGCTGCAAGGTGACTTTGTAATGGATGTGTAAAATTAGTCACTCTATCTGTCCAGAAAATAATTTTTTTCTAGAGCTAAAAGCACAAGTCTTTGCAAGAATTAAAAAAAAATTAAGCTGTGTTTTTGGGAGTTGATAGTCTATAAATCCTGTAAAGGGCAGAAACAACACATGCTAGCAGGTTATTACAAGAGCAAAGCTGTAAGTAATATCCATGTGAATGTGCACAAGAGAATATTTAAAAATCAGTGACTGTAGCAGAGAGATATTCTCTAAAAGAAAAAAAGGAACTTGGAGAGGGACAATGACTGTAATGGCAAAGGAAATTGGTATTCATTGTCTAGAAATTTGAGCTTTGAAGCAACAAAGAAAATGTTTCTTTCTGGATAAAAGACGTTGCTCTAGTGCTGTCCTGTCTATAGCTGAAAAAAGACACTTTTTTTTTTTTTTTTTTTTTTTTTTTGCCAAAATACATTTGTTTTTAGGTTGTGTCAGCCTATTTTGTACCATGGCTGCTTTCCAGCAGTGAAATAGACTTCAGTGCAAACATAGCACTTTCCGGTGTAAAAAAAGACTCTCCTGGTATCAGTGGTATAGATCCAACCAGAAGTCAAATTCTTCAAAGAGCTTAAAGAAAGAAATGCCAGAAATACATTGCCAGATCTTTTAGAATTCTGTGCTCTGAAATTAAGGAACTGGGTGTGTATCCTGATACAGATGCATGCAGTACATTAATAAATAAGGAGAAATATTTAGGGCAGAGCATATATACTAAATGCCATCTGCATTTTTAAAGACTTTTGTGAGATACCTGATGTTTCATGATTGACCAAAGATATAACAATGTGGAAAGAAATATGCACACATGAGTGGTCTTACGAAACAATGATACTTGCATATATGGAGGGGTTATGTCCCTGTGTTTGGATTAGCTAAGAATATGTTTGCTTTCAGAATACACAGGGAGTACACAAGTTAGCTTTGCTGTTACCAGAGGTATGCCCTTTAAGCAGTTGTAATATTCTGCTTGCACAAATGTATGGCAAAAGCACTCTTTGCAGTCCTCACAGGCATAAGATGCTCATTATCAGGGACAGGATCTAAATGTTGTAAAGAGACTCTGCAATATTTTGTCCACACAAAGGTTTTTAGATTTAAAGGAAACAAGTACAATATCTCAGGCCATACCTAAAACAAATTGATCCCTAAACCTTAGGATTATGTTTCAATATGTCTTTGTTGTGGTTATTCACCCATGCAATGTGCACACACACACAACCTTACACACATTTGAATATATTGAGTATATCTATCCCTCAGTAGGCAGAAAGAGCCATGTATTTCTCTGACTTGTCTGTGTGTGCATACACCAATGTACAGTAACGAATCAATCATAGATCCTCTTTAGTCCATAAATAGTACTGTATCTTCATCTCGTTGCTCACACAGCCAGTCAGATAGACGGGAAAGAATAAATCCAGCCATTGATGGGAAGTGTATGCTTTCATATTCACAATATTTAGGCAGAAGAAATTTCATTTGTAAGAGCAGAGCTGTAATCTCTAAGGAAAAGGAAATCTTTAGTAAAATGGTGAGGGAAATGGATACTTGCATTCAACACCTGCAGCAGGGGAGTTTCACCCTTAGGGAGCATTGGGCCAGCCCTGCTGTTATCAGAGCCAGCTGAGAAGAGCTTGGGTGATTCTTATCTGAGGGAAAGAATTCAGAAGGTGAGAGAGGGCTCTGTTTGGGTTGGGAGTTGTCTGGTGGTGAGACTCAGAGCTGTGGAAGTGGTGAGGGGTACGGGCCTGGCTGCCAGCAGCCTGAGCGATGAGGCCAGTGAAGAGGCCTGCAATGGTGTGTGCTTGGTAGCTGTGGTGGAATGGGTGGAGGAAGCTTTTGAGTGTGGTTTCAAGAGGCAGCAGGCTTCAGCAGCTGACTGAAATGCTAGGTGTTCGTAGGCATTAGGCACAGAGCAGACAAGTTCTGACCTGGTGTCCTCCCATTTTCTGTGACTTTTCCCAAGGGGAAGAAGGGGCTTGCTCTTCTTTCCAAAAGCCTCAGGCCAAATCTGTTCCAAGGAAACAAAGAGAAGAAACTATCATGAGCTTAAACCTATGAGAGAATGAGAGATACATCACTGCCAACAACATCCTTTATTAGTTTATGAAGTGATTAAATAGAGAGTTGAATAGTGTATTGTTTAAACATACTGTAATAAGAACCAAAGAATATAATTCAGAATTCAGTTTTCGGAGTGTGCCATGGAAGCGAGAGACTCACCCCTGCTTCACAGAAGGAGAACCGAAGGACAGAGCATCCGTGGCATGTCAGCCTTGCATGGATTCCAGCAGAAGGTGCCTCTGCTTGCATTCAGCACTCTGTGACGGCAGAGCATACACACAGGGAATGCTTGTGCTAGCTGCCTTGCGTGCGACTTCTGTCAGAAATGGGAATTAGATGGTGCTTTTGAGTTCTTTTGGTTTCACTGTGGCTAGCCAGTTCCTTAAATGCTGAGCTTTGATGCACGGTGAATTATAAAAGCATTCTGACTGCCTCATGACCAGATGAGATAAGACAGGAGGAAGGACTTATTCATGGGAATCAGACACTCACTGAAATGAGAAAGATGTGCAGACGTCTTTTCTTGTGAATTGTTGCTTCTTGAGAATGTTTTCAGTTTCTTAATACTCTTCAGAACCCCAGAGTTTCCTTGGAGAGGCTCACATACCTTAAGCTGTGAGAGTGACTCTCTCTACCGTACTTTGTCCTGTGTTTACCTTTTATCTTTTGCCAGTACCATAAAGTTACTAGAACAGCAGAGCAGCTTTATTGCCACACCACCTTCCCTAGTTGGAAGCAGGAGGATGTAGAAGATCTCTGGGCAATGGGAAAGATAGTAGATTGTGAATACAATGCAGTCTCTTCCTCCTCTTACAGTAATTTCAGCTGACTGATAAAGGAGAAGGTAGCAAATTCTGCAGATTGCATCTGACTTTTTTTGCTGAAGAAAACATTTCCTTTGCTTTGCGTGCCTGACATACTTCCTGTAGCAAAGACTCACAGCAGTGAGAGTAAAATGTAATTACTTGATGAAAGAAGAAAGCCCATCCCAGAAGCAGATCAGCTCTTGATCCTGCTCAGAGTAGGTGATGGTACTCTGCTGTCGCAAGTCAGGCCTGCACAGGTACATTATCTTTCAACCTTTAAAGATGTCGATAAAGAGCTTCTTCATTGCTACTATAACAGCAGCATTCTGATACCATCTCTTCCAGGATCATATTTGGCTCTAATTTGGCTGCCTTTTAATTAGTGTTACTTGGATGTCTGGTTTCTCATCATGAAAATTATTTCAAAAGCCCAGGTGCTTGACACCTCCCTGTGTAATATCTGCTTTATGGAAATTGCTGTTGTAATAGCAGCTTCCTGACATATCACTGAGGGATCGGGGACCCTGTTGTGTTAGGAAATGCACATCAAAACAATAGGAGGAGGAATCCTAAATACACAGAAATGGAAGCACAGATAGCAGTAAAACCATTACATGAGGTATGGTAAATAGAATGAGAGCATTGCAGTCATTGTCAGTATTGATTGTTTGGTGGGAGCTGAGGAAGAGCAATGCACAGTTTAGTCAGTGTTTACAGAAAGCCCCTGTGGTATGACAGGGAAAATGGGACAGAACACAGGGGGTGATTTTGAATCAGGCAGACTAAGAAGTAACATCCCTAGCTGAGCCAAGGCAGAAGCTGCATTCCCACTATCAAGGAAAGGCTGGTGGGTAAGTTGAGAGGGCCTTCAGAGTAAAAACTTTGATATTTGTGAGGACCAACGTATTAAAAACAGTAAAGGACACTACAAAGGCTGTAGTTATCATGGAAAAAATCCTGTGTGGTGGTGTGCCAGTTATACAAGGCCCTGTCTTGAAACTGAGGCCTTGACATGGGGTGAGAAGGAATGTTTGGGGGGATGGAGTTACAGGAAGAGGCTGGCCAGGCTGAGGGAGGCTTCAATGGAGAAACATCTTGATAACATTGATAATACCTTGCTAATATTTGCTGTGTGGATATTCATTAAATGATGCTTCTGAGGAATTCCAGACATCACCATCACCTTCAATAGTGGCGGTCAATCCGCTTATCACAGCAGCGTGATCTGGGAACTGATGAAGCACGGAGCCTAGTTTTACTTGGCAGTGTGCTTAATGGGTTTTGCCCAAATTACTTACTGCCTAAGTGGATACATGGGCACAACCTACAAAGGAGATAATGTGATTGTGGGTGTCTTAGTAGACGTCGCATCAATTCAGCTTAGTGGCTTTAGTTATGATGGTCGTGATGGAATTAGCCCTAATATAGTCAGTGAAGACTGTTTAGTAGTCCTTGAGCTGCTAGTGGTTGTCTTGGAGAAATGTGGAAAATAAGGGAAAGTAGCAGATCTTGAAAAGGGAGGTGAGGTGGGGGGGGAAGGGGGTGTTATATACCACTTAAAATGAAATACTGAAAGGAATGACTATGAATGTCCACAAGATAGCATGGATGTAAATTCCAAACAACATGGTTTGGTGATGAAAAGTCAAATCAAATGATAACTGTTGTGGCAGGGCAAACGAGTGTTGTGACATCTCCTCATGTCACTCCTATAAGTACAGTATTGGTGATTCTATTCATTGGGTTGATGCAGAGCTATTGAGTGTGCTGGCTATGTTTCACTGTCGTTTTAATGGTGGCCATCCTAGTTCTGGCACTGTTCAGTATATTTAAGGACAGGGGTGACAGATCTAAGTGTATTTTTCTTACATTTGCAAGTACTAGCAAGCTGGAAAGCCTGTAGGCACAGCGGAGAACAAGAATAGAAATCAGAGTTCTCTTGAGAAAGTGGAAACATAGTCTGAAAATAATATTTTTATTATAGAAAAGTACAAAGTGCTGGTCTGTATGTAAAAATAATCAGGTGCACAGATATGAAAAGGGAAGGAGAGAGGGGAAGTAAGATGATCTAAAGCTCAAAAACTAAATTTGAAACAAGAATAAGGTAATCCTGCAAAAAAAGTCTGATGTGTATAGGAGGCAGTCTCCAAGGCATGCGAAGTAGTCCTTCCACTTCACCTGATTCTGGCACCTTGTACCAGAGTGGAGCCAGACTTGGACCAAATTAGGACAGTACCTCCAAAAGCATCTGGAGAATAAAACTAGTCAGGAAAGCTAAAAAAAAAAAAAAAAAAAAAAAAAAAAAGGAGAAAATGTGGTGTAAATCTTCAAATGTGCAGCAGATTGCCACAAGAACAACGTGAGTAATCTGCTCACAACCACAGTATATAGGAAACGAAGTTATAGATTTATATTAGAGCAAAGAAGATGTAGCTTACCCTTTGGGGAAAAAGTTTAGTGGAAAAAGAACAGCAAAGTCTTTGGACAGATTGTTTGGGGAGACTGTGAGTTCTGCCCCATCTGTGGAGGGTTTTAAGAACAGACTAGACGAATATTGGTCAGAATACAGTTTCTGTGAATTTTTGCAATTCATCTTGCCTTATATCTGAAGGGATAGAATAGATAACATTGGACATCTTTCCCAGTATTAAATTATCGTCCTCTGAAATGAGAGAAAAATGAAGCAAGGGTAGCCAGCAAAGAGAAGAGAAGGATTATGTGAGGAACAGCTGTTGGCATGGAAAGACAGGGAGGTAGATGGTGTGCAAGAGAATCAGAGTAACTTGCCATGCAGGAAGGAGGGAAGCTTCTTCAGTGTCCTGGGGCCCTTCTTCATCTGTACTGCATCTCCACAACTGGGCTTCCTGGCTTCTTCTTTTCAGAGGTTTCCCTACAAGATCACATGAGGTAAATGTGATGGGAAATGCAGTGTCAGCTGGCATTACTTCTTCCTTTGCCCTTAAAGAAAATCTTGTTTCCTCCTCTTGTGTTTTTTAGCTGATATAGGCTTTACAGTGTTTTCATGCTAACTAACTTCTGGGGTTGGGGCCACATTCTTCTAAATTAGATCACAGCTCTCCAGAAATGTGTGCCACCTCCACAGGGTCCTGAGGCAGGGAGGCACAGCTCCATGCCAGCACAGCAGCTGAGCATAGGTCTGAGCAGGATGCTGAATAGATAACAAACATTTCTTAAGGGGCAGAATTATGCATGATGTTGGAATGAGAATGCTTACCTTCAGCTCTGCGACATCCATAGAATATGCAGTATTTCACTTCCCCATACATCTGCATACCACTTGTTCCTTAATTGCAAATGTGAGAGAAACAGAGTAGCACTTTTGACCCTTTTCTCTAGTAAATGCAATTTTTTCTTGTCTTGCTGAAATCTCCATTCTAGTAGAGCATGGTGAGAGTGATTGGCCCAAGTGCAGAACATGGTGAGTGTCAGCAGTGTCAGCAGTATTCCTGTGTGTTCAGGCAACACAGACTGCAGGAACAGGGGGCTGTGCCAGAAAGGCTAAAAAGGTCACACGAAGGCAGCACTAAGGCACTGGCTGCTGCTGTTTGGGAATGGGAATGGAGGGGGCCGAAGGGGAGACCCTGGAAAGTGAGTGATTTCATGACGTTTGATTGACTTTCCTGAATCTCCCCCATGTGAAGGCAGTGACATTGAACTCTAACTGAACAAGGATAAGAAGTTTTTTTTCACCAGTAGAGTGGTAACTTAGCATGAGGATTGTTGTCTGGAGACCAATCTGAAAAGAGTCCCTGTTTACCCAGGCTTATCACAGTTCATGTGACAAACCAGCATACTGAGCAAGCGAGAGCTGAAGTCTCTTTCAAATAACCATGAGTATAAATAATCTGTCAACAGAGAGGAGTGTGTCTTTGGTGATTCCTGGAGACTCCAGAAGGGAGCCTGACAGTCCCACAGAGCCAGCCTGGATCACCATCGCAAGGCAGAAGCAGTGGGGAACGCAGCAGGAGCAGGAGCTTGATGGAGAGAAACCAGTCACTCCGGATACTAAATCAGATACAGAGAAACAGAATAAAGAGAAGGAAAGAACAGAGGTACTTACAGTACAAATTTGCAATGATTTCATATTATTACATTTCTGTAATATTCCTTGAATCCACTGCTATTTTACTACTCAGATGCCATAACGATAACAGATAGTTAATGAGTATAACCAACAACAAAACAAAAACACTGCTCTCATAAATGTGTTACAGACGCAGAATTCCCTGGTTGTTCAGACAAGTAATGTTGTATGTCCAAAAAATCCTGGAACTATGTGTGCTGTGTAAAATTTCTTAGGTGCCCACTGCATACTTAGCAGACGTAAGGTGTGGACTGTAGGCTAAGATAACCAAACTGCAGTACCATATTGTACAGGCTCTTTCAGTGCAATAGGATCGATACAATACTCTCTCCACCATTTCATTGAATCTCCTCTACCTTCTGACTGATCTAACACCGAATGTAGTGCCCAGTCCTAGAAGGATTTAAGAGCAACAGCGTTTAAAGCTTTGAGAAGTGAAACAGGATAAAAATAGCATTTGCACTTGCAGACATTGCCAAGATATAACTTCTGGTTCTTTGTATTTAACTGAAATGCACAACGTGGTGCCGT